GCACGACGACGGGTCCCCCAAGAAAGTCACGTCATCTGCGTAGGCCAAGCAGATGACATCCGGGTGTGCCTCCGCAACGGCTTTCAGAGCTGGATGCATGGCAGCGGCAAAAAGGAGGGGGCCGAGGGGGTCTCCTTGGCGGACTCCAGTCTCGCTGAGCAAAGGAGCGTGGCTGAACGCTGCGTCCAGGTGCAGCGTGGACGGTTGACCGTAAGAGAAGTTCACCAAGGGTAGTAGCGATTCCAGCTGCGAGCCTTTTAGTGCTGTCGCTATGGCGAGGCGGTCAACGCTGTTGAAAGCATTAGCTAAATCCGCTTGCAAGACTAGCGCATCCTGATTTGCCGAGGTAAAGGTTCTAACTATGTGAATCACTGCTTCGGCTCCTCCTGGAACAGCTACACCAAACTGTAAAGGTAAGAAGAATTCTCTGGCCGCCTCTGCTAGCTGGGTAAGTGCTGCCTTGGCTGCTAGACGGAGGATGCATTCGCCTATTGCGATTGGCCTGGTTCCTCCGTCGGGCTTGTCTAGGGCTATCAGCCGTGATGCAGTAAGAAGTCCCCCAATCTCCGAGCGCAGCTTCCCGCGAATGAGATGGTTGCTGGCATACGTGTGAAGGGGGAGCCCGATGAGGTGCTTGGCTGCCCGACGTGCATTCAAGCCAAGTTCACCCGGTTTCCGTTCCCTAGTTCAGAGGCAACGGCAAAGGCACCGCTTGATGAGGTGGTGATGGACGTGGTGGGCCCCCTGAAGCTTGGAGCTGCTGGAGCTGAGTATTTTCTCACCATTGTCGATGTCTACACCCGCATGAATTGGGTGTATGTGCTGGCCAAGAAGAGCGACGTGGCTGAAACGTTGAAGACGGATTGGTTCCCGATGGTGGAGCGGCAACAAGACCGTCTAGTCAAGTCAATCCGCACCGATCGAGGGGGGGAGTTCCTGAGCAAGGAGTTTGGGTTGTGGCTGAAGAAGAATGGTATTCGGCACTCCCTCACCATGCCATACTCCCCTGCAATGAATGGCATCGCCGAGCGAGCGAACCGCACAATCACGGAGGCGGCACGCGGGCTGCTCATTGAAGCCGGGCTACCCGACTATTTCTGGCCTGATGCGGTGCGGAGCGCATGTGTGGCCAAGAACAGAGCCTTGGCTCATGTGGGAGCAGACAAATGGGTGCCCTATGTGGAGTGGCTAGGAAGGAAGCCAAAAGTGGATATGCTTCGGGTGTTCGGGTGCATGTGCATGGCGCTCGTGCCTAAGCATCTTCGGCACAACAAGCTTGGTGCCAAGGCGGTGTGGGCCGTGCACTTGGGCATGGCTCAAAACAGCAAGGGATGGCTTCTTTGGGACCCATTCACCAAGAAGTTATTGGTGAGCAGGGACTGCAAGTTCATGGAGAACTTCATGTACAAGGATTGGAAGGCGGAGAATGAGGCGAAGATAGGCGTGCGGTTTGGGGAGGTGAAGAGTTCCGGTTTGGAGCATGTGGAGCTGCCTTTGGAGCTGAGCAGTGGCAGCACTACCACAAGGCAATCTTCCCTTGTAAATGGGGGAGAGGAGGCCAATGATGCAGAGGAAGAAGAGGAGGAGGTGCAGCAAGTGAGCGAGCATGCACCGTCACTCCCTTCCCGCACTACGAGTGCTCCACGGATTCGAGCCACACCGCAGCAATGCCAAGGCCCTCAAGTCCCTGCAGCTGAGGAGGATGGAAGGGGGAAGAGGAGAGTTCAACTCCTTAATAGGCTGACCTATGATGCACTTGGAAAGCAAGGCAAGACAGCCCTGGCCGGAGCGGCAATGATGGTCGGAGACGACGAGGAGAGTGACTACGAGGAGTGTGCCTTCGCGTTCTTCTCTCCGGTGGAGATGCCGGGAGAACCAGCAACTCTCAAGGAGGCTTTGGAGAGTAGTGATGGTGAGGAGTGGAAGAAGGCCATGGAGAATGAGCTGAAGAGCATCGAGGAGAATGACCCGTTTGAATTGGTGGAGATACCGGAGGGGCGTACGGCGATAACGTCCAAGTGGCTCTTCAAAATCAAGTCGGATGCCGACGGCAAGATCGAGCGTTACAAGTCTAGGCTTGTAGCCAAGGGGTACCAGCAGAAATAGAAGGTGGACTTCAAGGAGCTGTTTGCCCCTGTGGTGAAGCCGACGACGCTGCGAACCCTATTCGCGGGAGCCGCCATCAAAGGATGGGTGGTGAAGCAAATGGACATTGTGACGGCATTCCTTAACGGCATCCTTGAGGAGGAGATTTTTATGGCGCAGCCAGAGGGGTTTGATGATGGTAGTGGCAGAGTGTGGAAGCTGAAGAAGGCCCTCTATGGGCTGAAGCAGGCCCCTAGGCAATGGTACATGAAGCTGCGCGAAGTGTTGGAGGAGATCGGCTTCACTCCCTCAACGGCCGATCACTCCTTGTTCATGCTTGGCGAGGGGGAGCAGAGGAGCTTCATGGTGGTTTATGTGGATGACATTCTCATATTCTCACCCTCCTCTGACCTTGTGAAGGAGGTGATGCTGAAGCTGCATGACAAGTTCAAGTGCAAGTCCCTTGGTGACGTGAACTTCTACCTTGGGCTCCACATCGAACGAGACGTGGAGAAGCGGAGCATGCGAGTGCACCAACGGAAGTACCTGGAGGCATTGGCTGCCAACTTTGGCCAGAGTGAAGGTCATGTGGCTACTCCCTTTCCGGCTGGGTTCAAGTGTGTGAAGGGACCAGAGGAGGAGAGCGTTTGCGAAGAGGAGAGGCGCCGATTTCACTCGTTGGTGGGCAGCCTCATGTATGCGGCGGTAAACACCCGACCGGACGTCGCGTTTGCTACCGGGCAGCTGGCTAGGGTTGTGCAATGCCCTAATGAGGAGCAGGTAGCAGCTGGAATGAGGGTGGCCAAGTTTCTTGGCCAAACACCGACCGTTGGGCTGCAATACTCGGCGGCGGCACAAAGGCGCCAAAAGGGCGCGGATGGTGTTGAACCCGGGCGTTTGTACCTCACCGCCTACTCGGATGCTTCATATGCATCAGAACCAGAGGACATGACAAGTGTGGGAGGCTTCATATGCTGTGTTGGTGGAGGCCCAACTGCTTGGGAGAGCAAGAAGCAGGTTGACCAAGCTTTGAGCTCGGTGGAGTCCGAGTACATGACACTCTTCCGTGCCGTACGGGAGATTGTGTGGCAGCGGCGTTTGTTGGCTGAATTGGGGGAGGAGCAGCAAGGACCTACCCCACTGTATTGTGACAGCCAGGGTGCCATTGCTCTTGCTAAGAACCCTGTGTTGCATGGACTCACAAAGCACATGAGGGTGAAGTGGCATTGGACGAGGAGCATGGTAACCGCGGGTGAAGTTGAGTTGCGCTACGTGAAGACCACGGGGCAGCCGGCTGACATGATGACCAAGAGGCTGGTGGAGCAGCAGCATTGGAAGTGTTGCAAGCTGGCTGGGATGGCTCTGAACTGAGAGAGCAACATATCCTAAGGCCAACAATCCGAGGGGGAGTTTGTTGGTGCAACCCTATGGTTTGCACTCGGCTTGTTGTCCGTGTGCATGCATGTGTGTGTGTATGGAATGGTATGAGAGCATGGGATAATATATATTTCATGCTTATAATTGTGTGTGAATGTTGAGTCATGATGTCGAGTGTGTGTGTTGAGTCAATAGCGAGTTATCGCTAGACGCGTGTTACGCGGTCGTTTGTGTCTCGCGCGCGGTTTCTATTTTGTCGTGCGCGGTTTCTATTTTGTCCTGTGTCGAACGTTCGGTGTGTCGCAGGTGTGTGCAGCAGACCCATCAAGAACTCAAGGATGAGTTTGTGATGAAGAGCCCGAGCCTTGGTGTCAAGCCTCAAGTGATTTCGAAGCTCGCCAAAAGGGTACACCTCAAGATATTGAAGATAGTTACATTACTTTGTGTAGCGTAACATTTCACTTGGTGTAGGCCCTAGTGAAGGGTAGTTTCGAGACCCTTCGTGGTTGGGGACAGTGTGGCACTGTTCCACATCACTGTACCTCGGCTCTTGGGGTTTGTAGGAGCTGGGAGTCATTCCCAACTCGTAACTCTTCCTAACTCTTTCTATCTTATGTTCTAAGACTATAGTGGCTGCCATGGTGCCGTTCGTTCAAACCAACGCTGTGTCGTCAATACTTGGTCAAATTGTGCGATCTAAATTGCCTAGTGTAGGCGACAATAAGACGCTCCAGATCCAAATTGAATCAAGTCATTTGCAGCTGTGACCAGAACGATATGAACGTTTGAAGCCGCTGTGCAGAAATCCGACTGTGCACTCTATCTTTCGTTTTAGGCACATTGGAGCCTACTGTGACTATAACAAGAAGGGGTTGCGGCAGCGGGGGCACAGCGGGAGAGCGAGGGGGCAGGAGCAGGAGAGAGTGAGGTGTGTTGTTCAGGATCCGTCACTTTGAGAACTTACGACGAACTCAATACTCAACTAAACGCAAATCCGCTCGGTAAGAAGTTGCGCCTTAGGCTTAGCTACCATCTCCAAGTTGAATCAGTTGTTAAGATGGTCTAGAGAGTGAGAATCATGTAAAAACGTCCAGCAGCCGCATGACTAGAATGGTGGAGGAAGTACAAACATTAGGGCATAGAAAGTTGGAGTTGGGGACTCCAAGAGAACCATGAGAGGGAAGGAGTTCTCCAAGAGCTAGGGAAGGATGGTAGGAACCTTCCTAGCAGCAAGGATGCAACCCTCATCATGAGGTCACATGCAAAATCCAATCTAGTTGGATTTTGCCTAGGTGTTGCAACATTTGCAACCCATGCTAGAAACTTATAGCCACCCCTATCCAAAAATAAAGATTGCCTTCCCTAACCACCCAACCAAAGATCCCTTTATAGTCATGTCCCAAGTAATCACCCAAATTAGATATAACCCCAAAAGGTAGTAAGAAATCCAAGTCTTGGAAATCTTGTAACTTGGGCGATCTTAGTCGGAATAAGGCGATCTTGGTATCGTTGGAAAGCTCTGGATTTCTCCTGCATGATCAAGCATCTAAACTTGGAGAAAAACACAGAGATGAAAATATCCAATAGCCATGCACAATGACATATGCTCCTGCAAACAATGCACGCATGAATAGCATGAGCACTCGGCAGGACGTTAGGATGATATGCACTCAGAATGACGTGCATCCAACAAACTCCCCCTCTAATTAACGGACTGCATGCACACACATTGACACACATGCAAACTCTCATGCACACAATCACACATGCACTCATGACACTGCTGCCCATACTAGTGCAATGCCATGCCACACATTTTAGCACACTTCCAATGTGCGCTCTCGGGAAGTCTCTTGGTGAGAAAATCTGCCGCCTGCTTGCTAGCCTTCACATGGTGAAGTTCAACAATCCCCTCCTTCACCATCTGCCTCACCCAATACCACTTAATCTTCATGTGCTTATTCAGCCCATTCAGGATAGGATTATTGGCCATGCCAATAGCAACCTCGCTGTCGGAGAAAAGCGGTGTAGGTCCCTGCTGTTCAGCTCCCATGTCCTCCAGCAGCTTCCTCAGGAGCACGATCTCCTTGATGGCATGGTACATCGCCATGTACTCTGCCTCTCCGGAAGACTGAGCAATCTCACTCTGCTTCTTGGATCTCCAGCTCACTGGTCCACCTCCGACCATGCACATAAAGCCGCCAACTGATGACTGATCCTCCTCCTCTGAGGCCCACGTAGCGTCGGTGAAGCACGACAGCTTCAAGGTTCCAGGCGTGACCCCATCTGCTCCAATCTGTTTCAGCTGGCCGCCAGCTGAAAACTGAACACCAGCAGATGCCGTTGATCCGAGGTAGCGCACCAAGCGCTTTGCCACCTCCAACTGCTCCTCAGTGGGCCGCTGCACAACTCTGGCCAGCTGCCCCACTCCGAATGAATCATCAGGTCGCGTATGCACAGCCACATACATCACACTCCCAATTAGTGACTGGTACTCATTCTGCTGCTCATCCTCGAGTACATCATCCTCCTCAGCTGCCTTCTTCAGTTTGAAGCCCGCAGGGAACGGTGTCATCACAGTGCGACCCCCAGTCACACCATACCGCTCCATGACACCAGAGATGTAGTGTGACTGATGCACCTTCAGCCACCTCCTCTCAACATCCCTCTCAATCTGCAGCCCCAAGTAGTAGTAGACATCCCCCAGCATCTTGCACTTGAAGTTGTCCATCAGCAGCTTTTGTGCCCTCTCAATCTGCTCCATGGAAGGTGAGAACAGCAGTATGTCTTCGACATACACCAGCAGCAAGAGCAGCTGCTCACCCTCACCAAGCAGAAACAAGCTGTGATCCGCCTGGGACGTCTTGAAGCCTCCACCCAGCAGCACCTCCTCCAGCTTCTCGTACCAACACCAAGGCGCTTGCTTAAGGCCATAGATGGCCTTCTTAAGCTTGCACATCCGGCTGGTCCCATCCTCATAGCCGTCGGGCTGCGCCATGTAGATATCCTCGAGCAGCACTCCATTGAGGAACGCAGTGGTGATATCCATCTGCTTCACGTGCCATCCCTTCACAGCTGCGCTAGCCATAAAAGTCCTCAATGTCACTGGCTTAGCAACGGGAGCAAAGATCTCCCCAAAGTCGACCTTCTCTTTCTGTTGAAACCCCTTGGCGACCAAACGGCTCTTGAACCGCTCCAACGCACCATCAGCACCACTCTTCACCTTGAAGACCCACTTGCTGCTGATCGGCCGTCGCCCCTCGCGTAACGCAACAAGCTCCCAAGTCCCATTCTCAATGAGACTGTTGAACTCCGCATCCATGGCAGCCTTCCACTCCTCCTTTTGGGGTCCACTCAGTGCCTCCTCCACTGTGGCTGGTTCTCCAGGCAAGGGTGTGAAGAAACAGAACGCCATCTCTTCATCCTCTCCCTCATCTGCCTGAACCGCCATGGCACCTTGCTTGGGTCCTCCCAAACGGCTATACTTCAGCCTTGAGGGTGCTGCTGCCACTCTCTTCTCGCGGGTTGCAATCTGCTGCCCATGTGGTGAAGCTCCTCTTTGCACACTCCTCTTGGTGACCTTGGCGTTTGCAGCAAGCTCGGGCTGAGTTGGTGAGTCCACACGTGCCGACTCATCCTCCAACCCCTCCTCTCCAGCAGGGCCAGAAACTTGCTGCTCTCCACCGCCACTATGGTCACTGGTCAGCTCTGACCCGTGGAGTTCATCAAGGTGCAGCTGAATCTCCTCCACTGCAGACCGCTCAAACTCCTGCAGACGCAAGCCAATCTCCACCTGCTGCTGCTGGTGCCAGTCCTTGTACATGACATCCTCCACACACTTGACATCACGACTGACCAGCGTTTTCTTGCTCTTGGGGTCCCACATCAGCACTCCCCCAGTCCCCTCAGTCCTCATAGGACCCACCAGGTCCATGTGCACCACCTCCAGCGGCGCCTTCGCTGATCCCTCCGCACGTGGAAACGGGAACCGCACAAACTTGTTTTGCATGCATGCCTCGCAGCTGCCATAGTGAGCGCCATCTCCTTGCAGTTGCAGCCCATGCACGCAGTTCTCCTTATGCATCACCTCCAGTGTTGAAACAGCCATGTGTGCGAGCCGCCGATGCCAAGTCTCCCAATCCGCTTGGCCCGAGGTAGCCGACGCCTTCACCGCCGCGCTTCCTCCAATCAGCTCCTCTCCTTGCACACCTTGCTACTCCTCCTCGGTGACACTCTCCTCCATAGATGCCGCCGCTGCCGCCTTGCCCGATTTCCGACAAGGGAGGACCGGGATCTGCCACATCCGCTTGTGGACATCTCCCTTCTACTGCAGGTCCCAAATGAGGCGCTCATCGTTGTAAGCACGATAGCGCTCCGAGCCAATCGTCTCGTTGTTCACACCCGCATCTCCCAACCGGCCGGTAGAAATCAGGTTCGCGCACAAGTCCGGCACCCACAGCACATTCTTCAGCCCCACGAGCTCTCCATCCGCTCCCATGAACTTGGCGCATCCCATGCCCATGACCTTGGCCATGGCGCCCGTCGCGGATGTGACCATAGAGATAGGTGCGGGCTGAATCTCATCGAGTAGGTCCACACGAGGAGTCATGTGCCAGGAGCTTCCCGAGTCAATCACCCAATGGGTGAGGGGGTGTAGGAGAACCTTGGCAGCCATAGCGAGGTCGGTTGCGCCTTCGTTCACGAAGAAGAAGAACCCAGCCTTCCGCTCCTCAGATTTGCCGCCTTTCTCCTCATCCTTCTCCTCTCCACTAGCTCCCATGACTCCCCCACTCCTCGTGCCACCACGCTGGTTGCTCGATGAAGGCGGGGTCCAATCCTTGGGTCGTTGGTAGCACTTCCGCCAACGATGTCCGCGCTTCTTGCAATAGAAGCACACCTCCCCTTGACCCCCGCCGCCATCCTCCTTAGGGTTGTCCTTGTTCTTGCCCTTCCACTTCTTCTTGAAGCCACTCTTTCCACCTCCAACTCCATAGCCAGCCCCCTCCTCCGAGCGCTCCACACTCCACCGCCGCAAGTCCTCCTCTAGGATGCGCGCGCGAATGTTATCCACGCTCCATTGGGGTTGTTGGGAGTTGAGGTTGATTGCTAGGGCAGACCATGACTCCGGCAGCCGTATCACGATCTCCACGAATTGCACGAGCTCCGGGTACACCACACCGCTGCCTTGGAGCTTCGTGAAGATGTCCCGCATCTCATCCAACACCGGTTGCATCGGCTCTCCATCAACGAACTTGATGTCGCGTAGTCGCCGCGCGAGTAGCACGATGCCGGTAGCATGTGTCGGTGAGTGCACATCCAGAAGCTTCCTCCAAGCCTTGGGGCCACACTCTGGATCACCCAAGAGGTCCTTGATGTGGTCAAGTTGTCGCCCGCCAACCGCTTGCACCATGAGCATGTACGCGTCGAACGATCGTTTCATCCACGCTCCTTTCAGCTCCGCGGCCTCCGGCATCTTCTCTCTCCCCTCCACCAGATCCAATAGCTTGTATTGGGTGTACATCAGCCTCATACGGAAGCTCCAGTGCTCGTTGTCCTCCCCCATGAATTTCTCAATAGAGAAAGCTTTCTTAGGATCCACGGTAGTAGGAGATGGTGTAGAAGAAGTAGGTAGCGTAGGGTTGGCTAGTTGGTGAGTCCCCACTCCTCCACCAGCAACTCCCCCCTGCTCTCCAGCCTCTCTACTTGTATCCATCTCGCCACTAGCACCTCCGGAGTTCGTACCAACCATATCGAGACATTATGAATGGTGGAAACTTGAGAAATCGTTTGGAGAGGATTCTGTAAGAAATTTCGATTCTACAAAAATCGCCGTCGCGGACTGGATACTTCGAATTAGAATGCGTTGTGACAACCAATCGAAATTTCGCAAAAAGAGCTACTAAAAAATGGTCTCACTCGACAACATTGGTTGAAAATTCATGACGATTCGTCGTCTCAAAGTCGACTACCAGCTCTGATACCACTTGATGTTCAGGATCCGTCACTTTGAGAACTTACGACGAACTCAATACTCAACTAAACGCAAATCCGCTCTGTAGAAAGTTGCGCCTTAGGCTTAGCTACCATCTCCAAGTTCAATCAGTTGTTAAGATAGTCTAGAGAGTGAGAACCATGTAAAAACGTCCAGCAGCCGCATGACTAGAATGGTGGAGGAAGTACAAACATTAGGGCATAGAAAGTTGGAGTTGGGGACTCCAAGAGAACCATGAGAGGGAAAGAGTTCTCCAAGAGCTAGGGAAGGATGGTAGGAACCTTCCTAGTAGCAAGGATGCAACCCTCATCATGAGGTCACATGCAAAATCAAATCTAGGTGGATTTTGCCTAGGTGTTGCAACATTTGCAACCCATGCTAGAAACTTCTAGCCACCCCAATCCAAAAATCAAGATTGCCTTCCCTAACCACCCAACCAAAGATTCCTTTATAGTCATGTCCTAAGTAATCACCCAAATTAGATATAACCCCAAAAGGTAATAAGAAATCCAAGTCTTGGAAATCTTGTAACTTGGGCGATCTTGGTCAGAATAAGGCGATCTTGGTATCGTTGGAAAGCTCTCGATTTCTCCTGCATGATCAAAGCATTTAAACTTGGAGAAAAACACAGAGATGAAAATATCCAACAGCCATGCACAATGACATATGCTCATGCAAACAATGCACGCATGAATAGCACGAGCACTCGGCAGGACGTTAGGATGATATGCACTCAGAAAGACGTGCATCCAACAATATGGGGACTAGCAGAGGGAAGAAAGAGAAGGCAGAAGAGAGAAGGGATGGTCGCAGGGGAGTTGGGTAGGCTGTAGTGTCATAGGTTGTAATGCGGTAGGCTGTAGTGTCATAGGTTGTAATGCGGCAGGTTGTAGTGTCATAGGTTGTAATGCGGCAGGCTGTAGTGTCATAGGTTATAATGCGGCAGGATGTAGTGTCATAGGTTGTAATGCGGTAGGCTGTAGTGTCATAGGTTGTAATGCGGCAGGCTGTAGTGTCATAGGTTGTAATGCGGCAGGCTGTAGTGTCATAGGTTGTAATGCGGCAGGCTGTAGTGTCATAGGTTGTAATGCGGCAGGCTGTGGTGTCATAGGTTGTACTGCGGCAGGCTGTGTGTCATAGGTTGTAATGCGGCAGGCTGTGGTGTCATAGCTTGTAATGCGGCAGGCTGTGATGTCATAGGTTGTAATGCGGCAGGCTGTCGTGTCATAGTTTGTAATGCGGCAGGCTGTGGTGTCATAGGTTGTAATGCGGCAGGCTGTGGTGTCATAGGTTGTAATGCGGCAGGCTGTAGTGTCATAGGTTGTGATGCGGAAGGCTGTAGTGTCATAGGTTGTGATGCGGCAGGCTGTAGTGTCATAGGTTGTGATGCGGCAGGCTGTGGTGTCATAGGTTGTAATGCGGCAGGCTGTGGTCTCATAGGTTGTAATACGGCAGGCTGTGGTGTCATAGGTTGTAATGCGGCAGGCTGTGGTGTCATAGGTTGTAATGCGGCAGGCTGTGGTGTCATAGGTTGTAATGCGGCAGGCTGTAGTGTCATAGTTTGTAATGCGGCAGGCTGTGGTGTCATAGGTTGTAATGCGGCAGGCTGTATCAGAATCCCAACCACTAGACCATTGGGATAAAAGGGCTTGTTAATTAGCGGGTCAATGCGCCCATAACCCCCCAGGACAACGAGCCTGTAACCCTTCCCTAGGATCAATCGGGGATCACCAGTGGACCTCTGACACCCCCCCGCACTGGGATGCCCGAAGTGCACACACTGGGATTCGAACTCGTGACTTTCGCTCTGATACCATGTCAGAATCCCAACCACTAGACCATTGGGATAAAAGGGCTTGTTAAGTAGCGGGTCAATGCGCCCATAACCCCCCAGGACAACGAGCCTGTAACCCTTCCCTAGGATCAATCGGGGATCACCAGTGGACCTCTGACAGGCTGTGGTGTCATAGATTGTAATGCGGCAGGCTATAGTGTCATAGGTTGTGATGCAGAAGGCTGTAGTGTCATAGGTTGTAATGCGGCAGGCTGTAGTGTCATAGGTTGTAATGCGGCAGGCTGTGGTGTCATAGGTTGTAATGCGGCAGGCTGTGGTATCATAGGTTGTAATACGGCAGGCTGTGGTGTCATAGGTTGTAATGCGGCAGGTTGTGGTGTCATAGGTTGTAATGCGGCAGGCTGTGGTGTCATAGGTTGTAATGCGGCAGGCTGTAGTGTCATAGGTTGTAACGCGGCAGGCTGTAGTGTCATAGGTTGTAATGCGGCAGGCTGTAGTGTCATTGTGAGGATCTAGGATCGAGCTCATAAAAGATAATTGTAATTGATTGATTCACCTGGGTACAACACGAGGCTATTTATAGTCTCGACACAAGGCCAGTTACCCAGATGTTACGCGAAGGTTCTGAGGGTTGCGAAGCGTCCCGAACAGAACCTTCCCGAACTCAGTAGAAAGCAATTCGGTGGAAACCGAATAGGCTTGAGTTCGGTACACGTAACCTGGTTCGGTGCTATAACTATAATAAAATATAGGAATGCACCTAACCTAGGAAATCAAGCATATCTATGTCAGAATAATATGTAGTTCTATATATTGTTCTATAACTGCTTGTAGTGTAGAATACTGTAGTCATATAACTTTCTGTTTCGTGGTGAAAAAAAAAACATTCTTTCTACACCACCGCCGCACGCCACAGGGCGTGCGGTACAGAGAGTAGCAGCAGCACTTGCAGCGGAAGCAACGAGGTGGTGAGCCCACCCACAGGATCGATCCAAAGGGATCGACCTGCTCTGATACCATGTTAAAGTTTAGAAGGAATGAAGAGGATTGCACTAGCAAGAATGAGGATACAAATAGCAAACCCTAGAAGGGTTGTACTCGCTATAGAGCACCCCACTACAGGCTAGAGCATAACATTCTGACAATCTATGCATGATAAATAAAACCCAACTGTGAGAGTACGACGGCTTATGCCAGCTATGCTTGCTTGCCTTTACTTTATCATACTATTTCTAGCATAGGATAATTTTATGCATACATGAACTGCTTGATTTCCTAGGCTAGGTGCTTTCCTATATTTTATTATAGTTATAGCTGTGAGAATTGAAACAAGAATGATTCAACTATGAAAGAGTTGGGTACAAGTACTAATCCTAATTGGGTTGTACCCCATATGGGCTACCCCACTACAGCCTACACAAATGTATAAGCTATATGTTCTGACACACCCCCATAGGCAAAATGGGGGAGAACAAGGGGTCACAAGACCAGTCAAGCAAAGCAAAGCAAAGCAAGCCCAGGGTAGATCACAAAGTCACCACACATTCCGAGCACAAGTTCAAGGCCATAAGGCCAGTTCAGATGCATGATTACATATATATATAAGGCTAGACAAGCAAGAGCAGGTATATATATATGCAACAGTACAAACAAGGTCAAGGGGTGAGCAAGTGAGGCAAGACAGGGACAAGACCCAGCTGAGTGCAGAAGCGCTGAAGATCACAAGGCGGAAGTGCCTTGGTGACAACATCAGCAAGGTTGGCCTCAGAGGCCACGTACGCAAGCCGCAACTGACCACGCTGCTGTAGCTCACTAGCAAGGAAGTAGCGGAGAGCAATGTGCTTTGTTCTGTGCTCCAGTCTCTACTCTCGACACAAGGCCAGCATGGCCTTGTTGTCTACGTACAGGACTGGAGGAGAACGAGGCGGCTCTCCAAGGTCGGTCAGCAGGTAGGTGAGCCAGCAAAGCTCCTGTGCAGCCATGGCCCCGGCGTAGATCTCAGCCTCACAACTGAAGCCGAGAACAGAAGACGAGCGAGTAGCCCGCCACGAAACAGAGCCGGAACCAAGGCTGAAGGTGTAACCCTGGGATGACCGCTGCGTAGCCTGGTCGTCAGCCCAAGAAGCGTCTGCGTGCCCAGTGAGGACCACTGGACTCCGCCCTCCAAGCACTAGCCCCATGCCCGACGTACTGCACAAGTAGCGCAACATCCTCTTCGCTGCAGCCATGTGCTCTGGTCGGTGTCTCCCAGGAGCAACATAGCGTGCAAGAATGCTAAGAGGGTATGCAAGGTCAGGTCGTGTGCAGGTAATCAGGTACATGAGGCAGCCAACAAGCTCTGGATACGGGCCACTCGACGCTACGGACTCATCCGAAGGCAGAGCTGAGAGTGAGTGGCGAGTAGGCAGAGGAGTGGCCTGAGGCAAGGAGTACGTGAAGCCGAAGCGCTGAAGGACCTGCTGCACCATGTGTGACTGAGTCAGAGTAATGGTGCGCGTGCTCTGTCTCGGGTGATCTGCAAGCCAAGGTAGCTGCGCAGTTCACCCAGGTCAGTGCACGTGTGTCTCTTCTGCAGCTCAGACTTCACGTAGGCGAGTCCAGCAGTGTCAGCTGTGGCAAAGACCAAGTCGTCGACGTACACGAGGATGTAGAATAGCGGCAGAGAGGTGTCGGTGCGCAGAAACAACGACAGGTCAGCAGTAGAAGGAGCGAACCCAAGAGCCGCAAGCGTAGTCCTCAGTGTGTCGTGCCACTCACGTGGCGCTTGGCGGAGACCGTAGACTGGATGCCGCAGACTCCACTGGGTACCAGGAGGGAAAGACCCAGTGAAGCCAGGTGGGCGGCGCAGCCAGATCTCCTCGTGCACGCTGCCCTGCAAGAAAGCAGTGCTGAAGTCGAGAGAGTGCAGCTCGTAGTCACAGTGAGCAGCAACGTGCAGCAGTACCCGAAGAGTGGTCATCTT